GCTATTGGAGATATCTTCAACTCGAGGAGGCAACACATTCCTGGATCGCCCTATCAGACTATTTCTAGCACCACAAACCTTTTGTTGAACTACACACCCAAAACCAAGAAAGGAGTCACACACTAAAGCATTTATTATTGCAGAGTTAATAGTTCGTTCTGAGCATGACTCACTCACTGCAAGTTGCTAAATGGACTGAGCTCTTCAGCTGCAGCCTACAGCTACTACGGCAAATTTCAAGGTGAACAGTATGAAGATAAACTTGTACAGACCAATGATCAGGAATCTTCACAAAATCCTGCTAATGCATTCTCCTAATTTGATCTAATGGAGGACAGCATATGCAAAATTATGAAGTTGCACGAAGGGGAATAACCAAAATTTATATGATACGCTGAAATACTCACCGCCACTCGCAATTGTAGACATATGCAGCCCCAAGTAAATGATGTGTTTGTTTATTCATTTTCCATAAATGAGCCATAAGTAGGCACAAAAAATTCTCTTACAAATGTGATTATTCCAGTATTTCATTAAAACAATGAGAGCAAAGCTACTATACTAACACCTAAATATAAATTGTATCAAACAACAGATGCAGGAAGAATATATGAAATTCACACTTCATCTATGTTAAAAATGAAAAGAAAGAGCATCAAGAGAAGCTTACCAACTGAAGGCTGAAGGAGAATTTGGTGAAGCTTGAAAGTTTCATACAATGTAAAAGGTGTGCCTGATCCAAAAGAGGTATAGGTCGAGAGTCAGAAATTCCTTCTCGGCTCAAAACCATCAATAGATGCTATAAGACCCTTCACTCTGCCTTGACAGGGGTCTCGGAATTCTGGGCCATTTGCAAAATCTTGAATCACGAATAAAATAAGCTGGAGGTGTTCTGTAGCCAATCAAAAATAAAATGGCCTCAGTTAGCTTTGTGCTCTGCAATGTTAGCATCATAAAGTGGACTAGATTACAGAAAATTGGATTAGAGGTCTAGAAGGTGCAGGCATATGCAGTTCTCTAGTTGCACCTACCTACTGACAACTAAAAATTTGGTTGCAAGTTAAAATTCTTCCTTGACCCAAAAAGTAGACTAAGACAGACTGCACCTCAATTACTCTTTTTGAGCTTTTAACATGAAAAATAATTGAACTGGTGCTGAGACAGTTTCATATGATTCAAGTTACAATCATATATATACAAAACTTAAATACCAAAGCGAGGTCAAATATTGCATATTTAAACTAAAGGCTCATGTCCAAAACTTAAATGTTATAAGGAAACAGCAGATATGGTACGAGAGAGTGTCATCTTACATACCATATGGTATTTTCCGAAACATTTCCTATCCTATCTTTCCTTTCTTGAACCCATGGTCAGCCCTAATGATTTGATAGTGATATCATCTGGTAGTACTCCCCCCTTTATCATTTCATCAAACAGCTCATGAGCTTTTTCCACAAACCCAACGCGTAGGTATCCGGAAATGAGAACCAAGTAGGTTACCCAATCAGGACAAACATTCTCCCTTCTCATTTCATCTACCAACATATTGACTATGACCATCTGATTCACCTTACAAAATCCATCAATTAAGCAAGTATAGGTAACGACAGAAGGTAAATGATCTTTCTGTACCATCTCCTGGAACAATCTCCATGCCTGCTTCATATCTTTGCTTCTACAAAACCCGGCAATCATTGAGGTGTAAGAAATTTTATCTGTATCCCAGCCCTTCCAGATCATTTCCTTAAGCAAATTATAGGCTTCTTTCACCCTTCCCATGTTGCATAATACATTAATAAGAACTGTAAATGTGATTGTATCTGGAGTAACTCCAGCTTTTAGAATTTTTCCATATAACAATAAGGCCATTGTTGGATTTCCCTGTTTAGCAAACCCATCTATGAGGCAAGTATAGGTAACGACAGAAGGTAAATGACCTTTTTGCACCATCTCCTGGAACAATCCCCATGCCTGCTTCATATCTTTGCTTCTACAAAATCCAGCAATCATTGAGGTGTAAGAAATTTTATCCGGATCCAATCCCTTCCAGATCATTTCCCTAAGCAAATTATAGGCGTCTTCCATCCTTCCCATGTTGCATAATAAATTAATACCAATTGTAAATGTGATCGTATTCTGAGCAACCCCAACTTTTAGCATTTTTTCATACAACAATAAAGCCTTCGTTAGATTTGCCTGCTTAGCAAAACCATCTATGAGGGTGCTATAGATAACTACATTGGGGAATGTATTGCTTTTAAGCATCTGTGGGATAAGCTCCAGTGCCTTCTCTGACTTACTTGCTTTGCACAGTGAGTTGATAACCAAATTATAGGTAAACATGTTCGGGATAATTCCCCAGTCTCTCATTTCATCTATAAGTAGCAAGGCATCCTTTATACATCCTTCCTTGCAGTAACTATTTATGATCAAGTTGCAGGTAGCAATATTTGGCAAAATATTGTCTTCTATCATAGTATTGAAAAACATCAAGGCTTTCTCAGAGGAACCAGTTTTACTATATCCGTGAATCAAGCTCTCATAACTCGAAGCATTAGGAGCCAACTTATTGTTGATCATTTCTTTCAAAAGTTTATTGGCAATGTCTATGTCACCTCTCTCAATATTTCCGCGTCTGCAAAACCCTTCAACCAATATACTATAGCTGTGTGTATCTGGGTTAATTCCACAGCTCTTCATCTCCGTCAAAACTTGCATAGCTATTTCGGGCTCACCTGTATTACAAAATCCATGAATAACAGCATTATAACAGTAACAGTTGAGCGGCTGGCTTTTACTTCTCAAGTCATTGATAATGTCCAAGGCAATTTCAGCACCTCCAACCATGCAAAGTCCATGAATATACGAATTATATGTTACAGCAGATGGGGTGATCCCACTTTTCTCCATTTCTTCCAGAATGTCAGTTGCTTGATCAATATCTACATTGCCTTGCCCATGATGCGTGTTGCAGTAAAATTGAATCATAATTGTGTAAGTGTAGACACAAGGTAAGGGACCAAGCTTCTTCATTGCTTCAAATAATTTCACAAGAATTTCTCTTTCATTTGCTTCCGATAAACATTTAAGCAAGAAATTACACGATTCAACACCCAATTGAAGCCCAATATTCTTAGCCAGGTGAAATGCTTCAAATGCATGTTTAAGCATCCTATTTGAAGCAAAAACCTTGACAAGTACATTAACAAGGAGAGTCGATATAGCTGCATCACTAGACCAATCCAATAAAGTGAAGATTAATCCATACAAATCACGATCAAACTTTTCATAACAATAGATAATCTCTCTCAGCAATGCATATACTTCCATATGCATTTCAGCACATGCAAATATATGCACCATCATCATATAAGCATTGATTGATTGATTAAAACCATATTTTTCAGTAGCACTCAGAAAATTTATTTGTCTTGTAGCCTGCCAGTTTAAAGACTTAAGAACTCTAACCACAACTGAAAAAAGCTTGTTGCCTTTGCGCTGCTCATGGATGCATTTTTGAGGAACTATTTTTCCTTTTCTCCAATCAAATGCTTCATTTTCTGAGTTGCTTTCAGAGTTTGAACCGCTGTCAGAGTCGTTATCCAACACTAAAACAGAAGAAGCACTTCTATACAATTTGCAAAAGCTGATATCTTTCACAATAACCTGTCCAATAAACAGCCCCAACTTATGGACAACCCCAAAATTGAAACCCAATGAAGACTTTCTTGAAAACAAGCACATGCCCATCAAATAAAAAATCAATCTTTGTCATAGAAAGCATTATTCAAAGACCAGAGATACCTATTCCACAACTGTTTGGACTCTGCAAAACAACAAAGAGGAGGTGTTCATTAACTAGCACCCGAAGAGCCAGGGCAGCTGCCTGTGCTGTCTCCGTTGAAAAAAATAATTATCACACGAATATGTATATGTAGTTTGAATGACGAAAGTTGATACCTTGAAGGCAACGCAGTTATCTGATTTGTTAGTTAATTTTAAGGAACATGCAATCTGCTTCTTCAATTGGACTATACCAAACACCAAAACGAAAAATTCAGAACAGCATAAATACAGATCGAAACAAACAGAATAAAATTATTGTCCTTAAAACACAAATTCTTATACCTCTGTATGGTGTGCTTGTTATTAAAATGTTAAAAGAGAGAGAATTGTTACATGCAGGTGCGGAGCTAGGAAAGTAATTTAGTGTGGGCACAATTTATCAATGTTGAACGTCGAGTTTTTGGTTATAGATTTAATAACGATAAAAATATAAAACAATATTACGACAACACTAAAAATGACATAGTTTATAACAACATTTCAATCATTCAATTCTTGAAATTGTAGACCGATACCAAAGTAGAACATATCTACCCGATAACGATGTAAATTTGTAATTTCTGGAGGATTACGTTGTGGGCGACCACAAAGTGCAAGTCGCACAAACATCTCATCAATGCTAGGTACATCAATATAAACAGTTTATCCTAAAATAGATTTTCTTTCTACACAAAGTTTTTCAGTCTATGATTTGATCCTTCATTGAACTATAGATCCCTTTTAGAATTGTAAATTTCCTAATCTTGTTCTTGACTTAAGCCCAGTACAAAATATTCATCAACAAAGGATACGAATTCCAGTAAGTAGATTAATCCCACTGCAAAAGACTCATCAACGAAGGAAATAAATCCTACTAAGAAAATTAATAATACACATTAAAATAGGAAATAGAATATGCTTTTAAGCTTAGTAAACACGCTATAAATCCCCCAGCGTAAATTAAACATCAGTACATCACTACAAAATTCACAGACCACAAATTGTGCAACTAAAAAATTCAAAATTGGATGAAACAGACAGATACTAAACAAATAGGCAGAACCCAGAAAAATCAAGACTTACATCTCAACAAAATGCTCTTCAAAATTCTGGGACTTGAAGGTCAAATAGCAAAGGTTTTTTATGGATAAAAAAAATAAAGAAATAATATTAACAAATTCTTGTTCAGCCAAGAAATTAAAGACTCGGGGGACACTGGGAAAACATGGTTTGAGGAAGGAAGCGTCCGACTCTCTTCATAGAAGATTGATTTTATCTAAGTCAACGTCGTGGCATCTCCTTTTCGTCTCCGCTTCAGAATATAGGAAATAGTGAGGATTAGCTGGAGCTGCCGAGCTGCGACCCTAATGTTTTGAATTGAAATGGAGGCTAGCTCGAGGAGACGCAGAGGCGTAGGTCGAGCCCGGAGGAAAGTGAATTGAAATGGAGGGTGGATGAGGCTGGAACCTGATGTTTTTAATTTTTGGATTGGGCTGGAAAGTGGTCATGGGCTATTTATTGGTAATGGTTCTAAGCTTCACCCTTAAGTTGAAAGTTGGGAAGAGTTCAAAAGTAAGGTATTAACTATACACAAT